GCTGGTAATGTCCCAAAGTTTTCCAGGAAGTATTTTTAATGGTTTCCACTCATGCAGGGGGGGGCTGCCCAGTGATTTCTAAATCTGAACACATTATGGGAGAGACGAGGGCTGTGTGATGTCTTGGCCCTTCTCTGAAATAAGCAGCGGTGGATATGGGAGCTGCCAGGTGAGGGCTGTGATATCTTGGCCCTTCTCTGAACGAAGTAGCGGTGCATATGGGAGGAGCCCCCAGGGGTACTTCCACCAACCATCTGTTTTGGGATGGCTGATCTCAGGTAAAGGTTCAGGGCTCATAGCTGCGGTTCAGGTTTCATGCAGCCCCGAGCTCTTGAAGAATGAATATTTGTTGCTAAACTTGGGATTTAATTTGACAATGTAAATGAGTGAATCAAACTTGTATTGGAGAAACTTCTGTGTGCTGCATGAGGACCGTTGTCTGCCTTAGCGGCTATAGCTGCAGTGGTTTTTATGTAAACCGGTCAAAATGTTCAGTGTTGTCAAATGAAAGGGAAAAATCCAGCAGAGACGGCCCACTGGAGTAAGGGGACGCGACATGTGACTCACCATCTTCCCACTTTAAAGGCTTTTGGGAAGTCTTTGACCCTTCTCTACCTCCCCCCCGGCACGACTATGGATGCAGCATATGTATTTGGTATATATAAAGTTATATATGCGTCATAATCAGGATTTCTGAAAACCAATTGTCCAGATTGAGAAGCAAAGGTGAAATTTGGGTGCGTAGCACATGAACCAACTTTATAAAACGGTGGTTTAGGGGTATTCCCTTAAAGAGGGCAAACAGCCTACAGTGCAGAAGCATCAATTTTGTGAGTCCGACCAATATAAAATGATGTAGCCTCACCAGTAGACCAGGATACCACCATGGAGGAGGAAGAGCACCGACATTGCTTTGTGGTGAATTTTCAGCCTGCCTTCCGGTATCTAAAAGGATGACTGCTCCCCATGCAAATGTGTTTTTCTGTCCTGTGCCCGGGCCATGACTATTTAATGCTAAGAGAAAGTACAATGATCACTACAGTTTACAAAACCCGGCAAAAAACAAATGGGCCTCTAACTTTTATACAAAACACTAGAAGCCCCTCCTGTCCTTGGAACAGCCGTGGCACACTTGTGATCTTATTACTGGCCACAAGTGCCAATCTCATGATTGCTAGCAAGGGGTGGAAGAAATACTAACCCACTTCAACAGTATCGCTCCCTTACTTGTCAGATGAAGGGATCTCTGCCTTGATGGCAGAAATGCTGCAGAATCTGCCCAGTATGGGCCGGTTGACACCCTAAGCTTTATGCTAAAGGCATGGTACCCGTGCACTTAGCAGCAACTATCACTCATTGCAACCCACCGGACGCTAGGTGCTTCATTCTGAATGGCACACCAATGCACCTCCTGGCGGGCGATGCAATGCATAGTACTGTAACAGTGTGCATTTGCAGTAAAATAAAAAAATTTACCCCCCCCCCCCCCCCCCCCACCACGA